TCTCGAAGTAGTCTCTGATGATTTCCTGGACTTCCATGGTATTTGTTGTTATCTCCCCTTTAGCATTCCTGATTCTACTAATTTGGGTTTTTTTCTCTCCCCATTTTAGTCAGGTTTGCCAGGGGTCTGTCGATCTTGTTTATTTTTTCAAAGAACCAATCCAGTTCATCAAATGGTGCCTTTTGATGGGGGAGTTAAGTCAAAAGTGTTAGTACTGATAGGTATGTGGTGATTCCTGTCATTTGGTTGTCTTAGTTATTTGAAGGTTTGATTGTTTGTACCTAAATCAATGTTACTCTCTACTTTCTTGCTTTTTCTTTTCCTGTAGCTTGGTGCTGCCTGTCCTTTCATGGTTATGTTGGGTTTCACTTTCTGTGTGCAGAATCCCTTGAAGAGTCTTTTGTACTGGTGGCTTTGTGGTAGTATATTGTTTTAGTTTCTGCTTATCATGGAAGACTTTTATTGCTCCATCTATTTTGTATGATAGTTTTGCTGAGTAGACTATCCTAGGGTTGAAGTTATTTTCATTCAGTGCCCAGAAGATCTCATCCCAAGCTCTTCTTGCTTTTAATGTTTCTGTGGAGAAGTCTGCTATGATTTTGATGGGTTTACTTTTGTATGTTATTTGTTTATTCTCTCTTACAGCCTTCAATATTCTTTCTTGAGTCTCTATACTTGTTGTTTTAATGATAATATGCTGTGGGGTAGTTCTATTTTGGTCAGGTCTGTTTTTTGTTCTGGAGGCCTCATGCACCTGTATGGGCATAGATTTCTCTAGATTTGGGATATTTTCTGTAATTATTTTGTTGAATATATTACACATTCCCTTTGCTTATTCCTCTTCTTCTCCTTCAATGCCCATGATTCTCAGGTTTGGTCTTTTGATGGAGTCAGTGAGTTCTTGCATTTTCTTTTCAAAGGTCTTGAATTGTTTAACTAACAGTTCTTCAGTTTTTGCTTTAATTACCATTTCATCTTTGAGTTCTGAGATTCTGTCTTCCACTTGTTCTATTCTGCTGGATTAGCCTTCCATTTTGTCTTGCAATTCTGTTTTGTTCTTTTTTCTTAGGTTTTCCATACCCTGAATCTCTTTCTCTTTAATGTTGTCTATTTTCATTCTGAGTTAACTTATCTCTTTATTAATCGTGTTCTTTTTTTCACTTTGGTGTTTATACAGTGCTTCTATGGCTTCTTTTTCTTCTTCTTGTTCTTTCTCAAATTCTCTATTTTTGTTGTCTTGAATTTCTTGAGTGTCTCCTTTACATTTTGGTTGACCCTATCCAGTATCATTTCTATAAAATTCTCATTGATAGTAATCAATGAGATTTGTAATCAATGAGATTGTAATCAATGAGATTGATTTGTAATCAATGAGATTGTAAGGATTTCTTCTTACAGATTGTTCTTATGGGCTTCTTTGGGTTCTTTGGCATAGTTTATCTTTGTTTTGTTGGAGTCTGGATCTAAGTATCTGTTTCTTCATCTCCCTCTGGTTCTTGGTACTAATTTTTTGCTGGGAGGAAACTGGTTTTCCTGGTTTTTCTGTCTTACCATCATTGCCCTTGGTATTGTTACTGTCTGTACTTTGTTCAATTAAGTATTTTCTAGCTTGTAATAATAACAATGGTGATATTTAGAGTGGAAGGGTGAGAGGAGAGGGAAAGCAAAGAAGGTAAAGAAAAAGGGAAAAACAAATAAACAAACAAGTAAAAAAACAAGACAAACAAAAAAACAAAAAATACAGTGTCAAACAAGTAAACAGGGAGTGATAGTATACTATTCAACAGTAAGCTAAACAGGCATTAGAGAGACATAAAGAGGATTTAAAAAATCCCCAATTTCAAATGCAATAAAGTTTCAGTCTTAATAATTTTTATCTTAGTCCCTCAGCCTCCCATCCTGGAGATGATGTCTCAGAAGTAGTTCTGTCGTTGTCTCATCAAAGGGGGAAAAAAACAACAACAAAAAAACAAAACACAACACAGCATCCCAAGTTCAAATGCAATACAGTTTCAGTAAGTCTTTTAGCATTCTGGTATAGTTTGGTTGTTGTCTCATCAAAGGAAGAGAAAAAAAAAGAAAAAGAAAGAGTCTGGAAACAGTTCTGTGAATGTCTATCTGAGGCTGTGGCTCACCTGCCCACTGCTGTCAGCCAGCTGTTGCTGGAGGCTTTATTGATTGCAGATCTCAGGGATGAGCTTAGCACTCACCTAGCCCCTCAGGCTTTGTTTATTTAGAGTTCTCCTGGGTGCAACCACCACTGTTACAAGATTTCCCCTTTCCAAGCACACTGAGGGAGGTGGCGCTACACCCCCCTTCTCTGGACATCTTGTTTGTTTACAGTTCACATGGGAAGTGTCCCTTCCCCCCTCTCCTGTGGAATTTTCCTCACACTGCCACTTTTACAAGCTTTCCTGCTCCATGGTTGCTTGGCAGCTGCTGCCACTCCTGCTTTCTCTGACCAGCTTGTTTATTTACAGTTCCCGTGAGGGATTGCCCCTCCCCCTCCTCTTTGGCACTCAGGGTGCCCCATCCTCTTTGCTACATTTTTTGTAGTTGTTGTTTATTTGGTTTGTTTTCTTTCTCTTTTTTCCCTGGGTGGGAGTCAGTCTGCCCAGGGGCCTCTGCTGATCTGGTCCAGGGTTGTCTGTGGGAGTATCACATGCCACTTAGCTCACCTGGTGGTCTGCATCTCTCAAGCTGATAAGAAATGGTGTCTGGCAGTAGGGAAGCCCTCCTGGTTTCTCCATTTACCATGGAATGGGAATGCTATCTGCGGTCTGGGGGTGTGCAGAAGTCCGAGTTTTGCCTCTTCTCAGTAGTTTTTCCTGTAAGGTGTATCTCCAGTGTCTCTCCAAGATTTTATTTTAGGAAGCATGCTTTCTGCTTCCTCCCTCTAGTTGCCATCTTGGAATCTCCTGTTCTTTTCAATTATGAAAACATTGGAATATATGTGCCATTCTGTAACAACACTTCCTAAGTCCTATATATTTGTTCTTTTTCTCCTTTTTAATATCATGCCTTCTTCGAAGTCTTTCATCTCTCTTAATTGTGGTATTCTCCTTCTCCATTTTGGGGTCTATCTGAAATCTGTGCTAAAAATGTAATATATCTTCTACCAGTTCTCAAAATCATTAATGACTGTTCAACATTTTTACCCTTTTAAACACTTTTTACTGTTAAAGCATAAAGAAATGCTTCTGATTATAACAAAATGCCATACTTTTTTTCTATCTTTCATCTATATGAAAAAAGATTTACTGGATGTTGGATATTTGATGCCTGGAGTAACAAATAAAAATTACATGCACATAAACCTTGTAAAACAGATCCAAGTAATACAGATGTGATACATTTAAATATGTGTTGCACATTAGCATATAAACATATATGTGTCACATAGCATGCATATCCATAGATGGACGGATACGTACAGATAATTTTAAGGTTAATAAATTTGGGTCTGAAATAAGAACTGATTACTACACAGAAAACCTCCTCAACCATTATACGTTTTGGTATTATAAGTTGATATAAAGGCAACAAAGCAGAGAGGTGTTCTTGGCACATGTTTGAAGGCAAATATTACAAAGTAAGCACTGTTTTATACCTTCTAGGTGAGATAGATGGTTATACAGATACAACATACCCAGGACTAAAAGCACAGCTGGGTTAAAAGGAGGATACTGAGCTCCTCTCAAGGGGCAGGAAGGGCACAATGTTAATTGCAGACATCAAGGATCATCTTCCTACTGCAACATTTTGACAGCTTTGAAGATCAGAAGGATCATAAAGAATATGATCACAGACTATCATCCACAAATGGCCCTAAAATAAGAGGGGATTTGAATACAGTCTGGGAATCTGTTCTAGGGAGAGATGAGAAGTGCTGTCTAGGTGCTGCCATCACCAGGGAAGAAATGGGAGCTGAGCAACCTGTGGTGCTGTTGAGGCTGATTACTGGGACAATTGCCTCCCTGGAGAAGTCACTTTGTTTTCAAGAACAGCAGTAGGAGCTTGACTGGGTGAGGAGAAAAAGGAAATTTATTGGTTGGAACTCTCCTCTTAGATCCCTCAAAAAAATAAGTTATTTTTCCAGCATAGACCATGGGCTTTTGAGTAGGAAGCACACTTAACTTGATTTTCCAATTTTAAGTTTTCCAGATAAATTAATAATCCACATGAATGCAAGAGTAAGAGACTGTCAATTCTAAATCTGAGATTCTAAAATGTAGGCTGGAAGAAAAAACATTATCTCTTTACAGTAAAGAGAATGAAGGTCGATTCATCATTTGAATATGGGTTCTGACAGCATCCCAAAACTGGATCAAGGACTATTGATATGTATATGTATATGTATATTTACATATAAATTATATATATGACATATTATATAAACATATGTAAAAAGATACAATGTATGACATCTTGCTCAAGATTGTCAGTCATTTCCAATACAGTGCCATCTCCTTGTGCATAGAATCTACCTTATCACCCATCATACATTCCCATATTCCCTGATAAGAATAAGAAATGTGTTTAGTGTACTACAAATTTGTTAAAATTAATTATTTTAGAAACCACACTGTTATAAATGTTTGATAACACGCTTTGTTAAAAAGGCCAAGTGCACAAAATATTGAGACTATCAAAGAATAAAAAAATTATTTATTCCCTTCAAAAGATAAATAAATCTTGACAAAACAGAGCCATGTTCCATACATGTAAAGTATAAGCAACCATAAGAATCCTTTGATAAATCTTAAAAGATGTTTAGAGGTGATACAGCTTACTCTGAGGTTGAAGTTTGGAGTATTCTAGACAGGTGCTCTCTTCCATGTGTCCAATCCCATGAATCCACTCTTAACATTGGCTTCTTTCTTTCAAATAGTCAAGTACTAACAGTAATCTTATGACTTGTGGACATACGTTGCTACCTCTGGGCTGATTCTTTACCAAATCTCCAGAAAATAAATTTTATTAAGGAAATGTACTTCTTTTCATACAAAACTTCTTTTTTCCAAGAACTTATTTAGGGCAACTTTGACATCCTTATTCCTCAGGCTGTAGATCAAGGGGTTCAGCATGGGCACAACAATGGTGTAAAACACAGAGGACACTTTCCCTTGGTCCATGGAGCTGACTGAGGATGGCTGCAAGTACATCAATGCAGCAGAGCCAAAGAAGACAGAAACAGCAGAGATGTGGGAGCTGCAGGTGCTGAAGGCTTTGGACCTGCCCTCAGTGGAGCTGATGCTCAGGATGCTGGAAATGATGAAGATGTAAGAGGCAAGGATGGTCAGGGCTGGGACAAGTATATTAAAAGAACCTAGGCACAGAACTAATATTTCATTGATAAAAGTACTGGAACAGGAGAGCTCCAGTAATGGAAAAAGATCACAGAAGTAGTGGTTTATGGTGGCAGGCTTACAGAAAATCACTCTTAGCATGCAAAATGTATGAGCTGTGGCACCAACCAAATCCATGCTATACACCCCAACTACCATCCATGAGCAGACTTGATAGGACATGGTGACATTGTAAAACAAGGGGTTACAGACAGCAACAAAATGGTCATAGGCCATTGCAGCCAACCTGTGACATTCTGATACTGCAAAAACAAGGAAGAAGTAGAGTTGAGTCATGCATTCAGGGTAGGAGATTATGTTCTTTTTCTTCACAAAGCTAACCAGCATTTTTGGTGTAATGACAGTGGAATGGCAGAGGTGAATGAAGGACAGACTGGTAAGGAAAAAGTACATGGGCGTGTGCAGGTGGGAACTAAGGATCAAGGTCATCATGCCCAGGTTCCCCACCACTGTGAGCACATAGATTCCTAGGAAGAAGAAGAAGAGGGGCAATTGGAGCACTTCTTTCTCTGAGAGTCCAGCAAGGATAAACTCAGTCACTGTGGAATAATTTTCTTCTGCCATTTTCTTTGGGGAATTCTATGTAGAAAAGAAAAAAAGAAATGGAGGAAGGTATTTATTGTCCCACAAAACATTAAAATTAAAAACAAAAAATTAAAATGTGAAACAGAATTCAAGGCTTTTCAGCAAGGTATCTGCAGTTTCCTGACATATCCCTGTGTATGTTAGCACTCATAGCCCTTGGGATTCCAAATATATGAGACAAATGAATTAAATATAAGATAAACACATTCCTAATCATGTTTTACATTGTGAAAATGGTTACTAGTAACCTGACCCTGATCACCCAGAAAAAGAGGTAATAATTTTAATGGGGTGTGCAAATAAATTTTCATGCTACAATTATAATTCTCTTAAATTCTTTACCGAGAAAGTACTTTTTTATGTTAAAATAACAGTTTCATCAACAAAAACCCCACAACTAATACCACACTTCATCCTGATAAGTTAATGGACAAAACAAGATGTTCTGTTCATTCAACATTATACTTGAGATTTTAATTAGGGCAATCAGAAAGGAAAATGAAAATAAAAAGACATCCAATTTCAAAAGCAAGCATTAAAAGTATCTCTACTATTAAATACTGTATTCTTGTATATAGATTCTAGTGAAGGTATTGCAAAGAAATAGTACAACTAACTATTCTCAGTAAGGTAATGGAACACAAGATCAGATCAACAAGGAAAGGTTACAATCATAAAATCCATTTAAGTATAATGAAAAATAATAAAATATTTTGCAATAAGTTATGTAAAGAAATGTGTTATGTGTAAAATTAAAAAGTATTATTGAAAGGAATTAAAAACCTACATAAATGGAAAAACATCTCATGTTCATGAAACAAATGACTCAATATTGTGAAAATGACATTATTTCCTTCAATTACTATCAAAATTCCAGTCCCAGCTTTGTTACTGCCAATATTGATCATAAAATATGTACAAAAATATAAGGGACACAGAATAATCAGAACAAGATTGAAAGAAAAGAATAAAGTTGGAAGCCTCACATTTTTTAACATGAAACCAGACTACAATGATACAGTAATCAAGATAGTGTGGTATGGTCATAAGGATAGACAGATAGGTCAGTAGAATGAAATTGGCAATCCAGAAAATAGAGCTTATTTATGTGAAGAATTAAATTGCTAAGAGGGTTTCATGTTATTTCAGTGGAAAAATATATTTTCAAAAAATGATGCTATAAAAATTATATAGGTAACACATATAAGAGTTAATTTGTAATTGTTTCTCACACCAAACACAAAAATAAGTTAAAAATGAGTCACTGAACTAAATGTAAATGCTAAAGCTTTAACAATATTATAAAATGCACAAAAACAAATCATTCTGACCTTGCTAATGATGTTAAATTGATCTTAAATAAGATGCCCAAACTAAAGGCCCTCATGGAAAAAAAAATAGAAAATTGGATTTAATGACAAAAAAATTTAAATTTGTGCCTTAAAGGTCATTATCCTGAAATTGAAGAAAACATACAGGACAAGACAAATATTTTTAAGTAATAAGGAAAAACTTGCACAATATATGTTAAGAACTCTTATAGATTAAGAATAAAATAACAAATAATCTAATGAAAATGGTAGGAGGATTAGAATAAGCATTTTCTACTTAATATACAGAAATGAACACTGAGCACTTGAAACTATGTTTATACTCATTAGTTACTAAAAATATTTAAATCTAAACCACAGTGAAATAACAGTTCACATCCATCAGGAAGGATGTAAAAAGCATCAGTAAGGGCATGAAGGAATTGGAAACTTCATGCACTACTAGTGAAAATGTAAAGTTGTACAGACTATTCAGAAAACAGTTTGGCAACCTTTGAAATATAAAATGTGTAGTTACCATATGACCTCTCAATTTCACTGCTGAGTACATGCTCAAAGAATTGACAACACACATGTACACAGGTTGCATATGAGTGGTTAAAGCAGCATTACTTACAAAAACCAAAGTATGGAAACCATTCACAGGTCCATCCAATCATGAATGGACAAGCAAGGTGTAGTATATCCATATAACTTAGTATCATAAAAGAAACAAAGTACTGAGAATGCCACATCTTGAATGGACCTGAAACATTCTAAGTGAAAGAAACCAGACATGAAGAACACATGTTATATGATCCCACTTAAATGAAATGTCTGAACAAGAAAATTCAGAGACAGAGAGCAGCTTAATGACTTCCAGGCATGTGGAACAGAAGGTACATGGATGTGACTGCTAATAGGTATGGGATTTTAGCTGGGGTCATAATGACAATCTGTTAAAATAGAACATGGGGATGAGAGTACAACTCCACAAATGTACTTAAACACTGAATTATAGAACATCAATTGCATTACAATGTATGTCTTATAAAAATTCAAACCATATGAAAATAATGACACCTTGGAATCACACAATATTCCATCACAACCTACAACATAGCTGCTCTCCTAGAAGGCTTTCCCATTTAGGTTATGCCTGGTGAATGCTTCTGCATGCATGTCAAATATACCCATTGTTGTTTTTAACAAACGATGTGATATGACATTTGTCTCTCCAAGAACAAGAGAATATGCTGCATTGACTCATAAGCTTTTTCTATCACAAGTTGTTTTCTCTATAGTACATAAACAAGAAAAAACATAAGCCTTTTTTAGTACTAACTATTAAGGAATTACAGACACAAAGCACACGTAATTTAAATTGTTTCTTTTTTTTTTTTTTTTTTGGTCTCTTGCCCAATCATTGTAGCTTTGACAGCAGGTGTGGGACTCTGACCCATTCTGTGCATCCAGCTTCCTCTGAAGTCTGGCTCTGGCAATGCTCTTAGTTCCTCTGCTTCCTGATCTCCTCTGCTCTCACCACTTTTGTGTGTGTGCATGCCCTTGAACTTGTTGAATTCTCAAATAACTTACCCAGCATTAGTTGTCTTAGCTTCCCTTTGTCTGTTTTGACTTAGAGAGGAATGAGTTGTAAGAAAATTTTAAAATGATTTAAGGAAAAAAAGATTTGTTGGTTTCTTCACTGTTTTATTCAGTAAGAACTGATATACAATGAACCACACACATTTAATGTGTGTAAGTTGACACTCATGAAAACACCACCACAATAAAGGCGTTGGATGGATTTATCACCTTCTGAGTATCTCTTTGTGGCTATGGTTTGCTTTGGTTTTGTTTTTTCTGTGGTAAGTATACTAAATATCAGATCTACCTAAAGCTGTAAGTGCACAATTGTCACATTACTTATTACAGGCACTATACACTGAACAACTACTCCATTTCCCACACCTTGTACTCCCTGGTCATCATTATTGTATGTTGGTGGATTGCACTGGATTGTATTGTCTTTATTGTATATTATAACAGTCAACCCATAAGTGAACTCTGAGTTTCACTGTTACTCATGCCTTATATAAGTGGCATCATGCAGAACTTGTTCTTTTGTGCATTGTTTATTTATTTTGCACAATGTCCGCAGGTTCACTCATGTTATTGCAAATGGCAATATTTTCTTTGGAGAAGAATAAGTAATGGATTATTTAAAAAGAAATTAGTGATGATCCAGTTATATGGTTGCTAAAGTGAATCTATATATTTCTGTTTATTTGATTTTTGCTAATTAATAAAGTAAAAGAATGGAACAGTCTTGGGTTATATTGATAGTCTTTGTTAAATCTGCTGTAGTCAGGTTGTGCACATGATACAGTTATGTTTTGTACCTGAAAACAGAACAACATCTCAGTTATGAGAATACAGGGGACATCTAAGTCATGTCATAGATTGATAAATCTTGATTTATTATTCCATAGGACTTTACATTGTGTTTTCTCTTGAAAAAAGCATTATGTCAATAACTTAGATGACAGCATATAAGAAATTATTAAATTTATAGAAAATAATAATGAATACTTTTTGATAATAATGATTCAGAAAAATAATTTTCTTCTGTGAATGTGGACTGACGTTAAAATAAATTTAATAGTGACATGTTGAAAAGGTTTCTGTGAGTGTCCAGCATAGAATATTAATTATACAAAAGTCCTGCTCATTGGACACTTCAACCTAGCAATGGACAGGAGGTGCCTGGACAATGGCATACACATCAGGATTGGGCAGGTCCTGCAGCACACAGCTATTATGCTACCAGTCCATAATGAGTTCCATCAAGGCTTTTAAAGAGAATCCTTACTCTGAAAAGGCAAGAAGAAATAAGCTAAGTTTTCTTAGTATTCAAACTTTAAGACACTGGCATACATTTTCATGTTCAAACAATATGATGCAGAGAAAAACATACAATGATTGCAAATGACCCATTAAAAGTACTAAGGTATCTAAAATAAGGAAAAGTGATTTGTATAAAAATAAACTCATCAGGTGAATTGTGCTTAATTCTGGTAGGGGCTATACTTTATGATAGGTTATAAGTTATAAATTTCTAAGAAAATTGTAGATTTATACAAAAGTAATTTATATCTTGTATAGCACCAGTCAGGATTGGACTTATTTTATGCTACTTCAAAGGGCAGAGGTACAGCTACTGAGATGCATTATGCCTTAATCTCAAAATCCTTCTATTAAACAAGCTTGGAATAAATGTGGGTTGACACACGACAAAGATAATTTTCTGTCTTCTAATGTGCTACTGCAAAATGTGAGTCATCATTTTCTGGTATCTTTAGGAATTCTAATATTGTGTACATAGATATTATGAATGTCCTCCAACATTCTGAGGTTAAATGGTTCTAGGATAAATGGATTTCAGATACTCACTTTTTCCCCACCTGGGATCCCCAATTCCCATTTGTAGGTGAGCTTTAAACCAAATGCTCTTTGAATGAAATCACCCTTGATGTTGGTGGTGGCAGTACAAATAAAAACTCCTGGGATCTCTTTCACTTAGGGGATTAGAATGTAGATCTCAAGTTCTGAGGAGCTCACATACATATTATGATTCAAATTCTATATTTGCCTTCATAGCTTCCCAAA